ATAATAAAAAAATAAATAAACAACATTAATAACAGACTGATGTGAGGGCTCGCAAACCGTTAAGAGAAAGTTCCATTCTTGAGGTTTATCATTGATGTTTTCATTCCGAACATTTGTATCGTTATTGTGTTGAAAGATTCAGTTGTTAGAGAGGGTTTATTCAGTTTTGGTATCGTTTATAATGAACAACAAGGGAATTGATTGATTGTTCGTGTTGAAATATTGATTACTTCTTTGCATTTCTCAGATTTGAAACATTAGCGATAGTTGTTGAAGTTGTTATTTGCATTGAGATGTTGGAAAGATGATGCGTTGTTTTAGCATTTTAATGCACTCCTTCAAGCACGACCGAGACGTTTGAGATCAGGCCCTCGACGCGGTCATCTCTTCTATGGTTTATTGAGGAAGTTCATTAAACCGAAGTCTGCACGACGAATTGATGAAAAAACAATGGAGCAATTCGATAATTTCACTGATTATAGGTTTAGAAATGTTTAAGTATTGGTTCGTAGTGAGTTGAAGATGACTTGAATGAATTGAAATGACGACTAATGAAGAGTTTGTTTAGAATGGAATAATGTTTTGTTTGATGTTAATGAAGTTTCTGCATCGAACTTAGTGAATTGAATTCAGATTTAATAAATGCGGTGATTTGGAATCCTGTCTAAATTTTGCCCACCTATAGTAATTTTACTAATGCTAACAATGAGAATATAATGATTGTTCCAAATATTTTAATGGCGATTATATATTCAGACCATTTTTTACGTATTGGGTGACGACCGCTCAAGTGATCGTGATGATAATAACGATCATAAACTATGGCGTTGGGCCGTGGGGATTTGATCGAGTGGAGAGAGATGGCGATGTGCTGCACTCAACCGTGACTCTGAAACGAGTCCGCATCTACGAGTCTGCGAATCTTTGGCTGGGCCCAAAATTTGTTCGTTTTGTTTGTTATTTGCTTTTTGTGATCTTACGCTCGAAATTGTCTTTGTGGTTGTCATTATTGTTAATGTTTTGTGGTTGTAAATGGTAAGGCATTATTATTATTTGCAGTCGGATTTAGTGCATTTGGGTGCAACATTCGCACCGTGCATGAGACGTGATGCAAGAATATACGCGCAGATCGAGAACGACAGGGCGTTGGAAAGGGAGACGGGTTGTTGCGTTTATAACGATGGCAGTGGATGCTTTCAGGCTGGAGAAGACATCTGCCCTGTATCTATTAATTTATTACTAATATTATCTTGTTTAATTGAGTATAATGCCAGCAAGTACGCTTATCTTCAGGATGTAATAGCGTCGTTGGTCAAGTGGGCAGTCAACGGAACAGGTCCGAATGGACGTACTTCGGGTGCTGTGTGCGGTCAAGACCCGAGGTTTGCTCAGTTATTATTATTATTTTTATTGTTATTACCTGGATTGACCAGGCTATCAAACGTTTATAACGTTGCTGGCCACAATGCAAGGTTTGTTGTTATTATCATTGTTATTATTATTGTTAATTCAGTTATCAAATATGCCTTATGTGTTCATATGCAGATATTGTGTTGAGCCGTCTTCAGTGGATCCTTACGAATGGCCTGATGATATCACGAAGTGGCCGGTTAGCGGATTTTGTTTTTATTATTATTATGATTATTATTATTAATACATCTACTGACTGGTTTTATAGCAGTGCCGTCATTCGACAGCATTGATCCCAGAAAATGAAAAGCATTTGCAATGTGAGATAACTGGACGTCCGTGCTGCATTCAACTGCATGGGCAGTGTCGTATAACAACTCGTGATTATTGTGATTTTGTGCATGGTTACTTTCATGAAAATGCAACGCTCTGTTCACAGGTTCTATCTTCTCTATTATATACCTTCACTTTGATTAGTTGAAGAACTTTTCCAGAGATCTGAGTCAGTCATTCAAATCATCCGTAATCAAATGAATTTTTGTGGGATTTGTTAACCGTTGCACTCCACTTTTCATTATTTTATTTTCATACTTTTCACAGTACTGATAGAATTATTTGAATGATATTTTTATTTTGAATCGTCTTTTTCAGTTTTTCACGAATTTGTTTGTGATTTATACTGATGAATAGTTTCAGTGAGATTATTTGCTTTAGGTGTCTTGTCTCGGCGAAATATGTGGTATGTTGAAATTTATGAGTGTCGATTGGCCGGATCAGTTCTATCGGTTCATTACACCGTTGTTCTTGCACGCTGGGTGGGTGCTTTTGTTCATTTTCATTTCATTGTTTCTGTTAAAATTCAGCCCGCACTTTCCTCATCGTAGTTCAGTTATATTCCAAAACATCATCTTTGAATTCACATGAAAGATTTTGAAATTTTTCAAAATATGGCAAAAAAATAATCTTTCTGAAGTGCGTACTGATTGAAATCTTTCGACGTAATAGTTGATAGTAGTGTTGGAAGTAACGATATGAATAGGTACACTTTTTAAAAGAATAAATAAATTCAAAACAAACGAAGAATCCTAAGCAAATTTCAGTATCATTCACTGTGCAGTAACAGTTCTAATTCAGTGGTGCTATATGCGTGATTTAGAGAAATTGATTGGGTGGATAAGAATCGCAATCATTTATTTGGGTGCTGGCATGGGTGGTAATATTGCTAGTGCCATATTCTTACCTTACAAGGTGAGCTGTTTTCATGTGATTCAGTTGTTCACTTCTAAATATTATCATCACTTTATTAATACCTATTGAATTGTGTTGTGTTGTAGCCCGAGGTTGGTCCGGCTGGGTCTCACTTTGGAATTTTTGCCGCGATGTACACTGATATCATTTACAACTGGTTGGTGTTTCATGCATATCGAGATTAACTGATATCTTAGATGTTATCAGTGAAAGTTATAACTTTATGAAAGTTATATCGAGAGAGTTATAAAGTTAAAATTAGTGAAATTTATAGGAGCAGTGAGCAAGGATCGGTTTCGTTGTTTGTGGCTAGTAATATGTTATGTCAGTAACTCAAATTGATTTTGTTTGTTCGGTGAGTGTAAAGACATTCATTATTTAGGAGGTTACTTCAACGACCCTGGCATGTGCTTCGAAAACTGATGATGTGGACAGGTGTGCTGTTCTTGATTGGTTTATTGCCGTGGATTGACAACTGGGCGCATTTATTCGGTTTCATCTTCGGCATTCTTCTCTCTTTAGGTTCATAATTCATCTTGTTCATTTCAATTCTTGATAAATCGCTTTGTCTGATCATCATTATATATGCTCCTGTGAGGAGATAGTTTTTAATTCGTAGGAATTTGATTCACTGCTAACCGAACGACTGTTTCCTTTTCGAATAGAGTTATAAATTTTTATTGTAGAGGCGTGATTACTTCCATTTTTTGACTGATTACATTTTACCTGCATTTTGATTACATTATTTGACTGTTAGTAGTGTAAACGTTGGTGATAGAATTATGATAAATCCATTTTTGTATGATATTGTTTTATTTAATGTTCACAATAACATAGATATCGCATTATTTGGTCATTCAAAATTGTTTTTGCAGCAACATTTCCGTATATTCAAACATCGGATAATGATCGACGATGGCGAATCGCGATCGTGTTGGTGTCGCTTGCAACAAGTTCTGCTTTATTTGCGATACTCTTGGTTGTTTTCTATCGATTATCTGATTTTGAGTGTTCGTTTTGTGAATATTTCAATTGTATTCCGTTCACAGATCATTTATGTGATAATCAAGGTCTTAATTTACAAAGTTGGTTACCCATTTGAGGTGGCATTTTGCATCTTTTCAATCTGGGTTTGATTCGCATTTGGTCATTTCTACGCTTCATTGTTACTATTATTTTTGTTGTTTTTATTATTATTGTTAACATTTATTATTATTATTGTTATTGTTATTACTGTTATTATTAATCA